CCTTATGCTCTATGTGCACGCATCCTTTTCTGCTTTTCATGTGATGAATTTTCTTTTGTTTCCATTCCTCATCTTTATTATATTTGTAAAATTTTAAAAAATGCACTTGTCTGAATTATTTTTCTTTCTCATTCCTCTTTACAACATTGCTATTTCTCTTTATCCTACCTAGAGGGTGATTCCTAGGTAGAATTATGTTTCTCAGGTACCTAGAGTTGTGTTTCCTAGGTACGTTTGACTTGTATGCTAGCCCGTCATTTTATTCCATCATTCCATGAGCCCATGCACTCCTTCACCTGCTGACTTTCAATGAACGTTATGTTTACTTTGTTTCTCTCATGCCGTTGTCGCAACTCTAGAGATTGGAGTTCTTCTTTTTTGGTTTGCCTTACTGGACCACTATAGCCAACTGCTGCCACCATCTCCATCACCATGTAGTTTCTTCATTCAAATCTTGATATGCTGTGCGCACGATTGGCAAGGGAGTATTAGGGAGTTACAATAGTATTTCAATTACAATAGTTAATCATACTAATGATAGGAAATGGTCAGTTGTCAGTTACGTTGTTATTGGGCCACAACTCCATATTTATGCTTATGGTAATGGCTTGCTGTAACTGTATAGTTAATCATATGAATGATTGAGGGAAAATCAGGGCCTGTTTGGTATCCAACTTGAATCCAACTTTTTAAACTCAAAAACAGAATTTGAGTCCAAAACAAAGAAAACCTGTTTGGTAGCCTTATTTTCAAAAACTCAAACTCAAGAACAATTAAAAAAAAACTCCAATGAGTATTATTAAAAATAAATAAATAAATAAATAAAATCTGTTTTTTCAGTTTTTTTCTAACAACCCACAAGTTCTCAAATTTTTAAGATTTGAAAACAGTTTTCAAGTTGCATACCAAACAAGTTTTTGAATCTTAAAAATAGATTTAAGAACTCCTTGTTTTTAAAAAAAATCAAAGTTTTTGAGTTCCCTATTTGAATAGGATACCATACGCCCCCTCAATTTCTACAAAAAAGTACTTTAACAAATAGTCAAATATTCCAAAAAAAAATTTAAGCAAATTGTTGTTTTTCCTCTGCCACGATCTACTTAACTTCTACTCTCCACACGCCACCTCATTTAAATTTCATCCAAAGATTTGAGAGTTGACACATCACATTGAAAAAATGAACAAAAATAATTGTCTCACACTTAATAATTAATAATAATTACTAACCCGTTCAACGTCAAGCCCGCAACTTCCCTTCTTCTTTTCTGGGCTCCACAAGAATCATCTCCCATTTCAGTCAAATATGGTTTTGTTTGTTTGTTAATAAGCGAAACTTCATTGAAAGAAAAAGATAACAACCACCGACAAGAACAAAGGCAGCAAGAAAGCCGCAAGACGAGAGAAGAATAAACAGAGGGAACCAACCAAGTCTCTCAGGTAACGTTAATTACCTGGTTTAGGGGTTTAGCTTTTTTTTTAATTTCTTTTTAATTTTAATAAGTTTTAAGCAAATTGTTTTTTTTTCCTTCTAATAAAAAATAGTGATGTGTCAACTCTCAAGCTCCTTGGATGAAATTTAAATGAGGTGGCACGTGGAGAGCAAAAGTCAAGTAAATCATGTCTAAGAAAATCCAAGCAGAGGATCCGAATCCAAAGTTAACAACTTCTAACACTTTTGAAGAAGTGCTTTTCAGACAGCCTTTAAAACGTATTATGGTCAAGGAAGATGATGGTGTGAGTGCATGGAAGAGCATGATCAAAAGCTTACTTAATTTAGAATGAAATAAATAATTACGGATTCTGATTTCTTACCTTAAATTCTTAATATGTTTTCATTTATTTGTCTTCTAATCTTAATCGTGTATCACAAATTCAAAACTGCTGCTTGAACAAAAAAGCGAGTAGTGCATTTTTGAAAGAGCGTGAGATCAAATGTTAGATTTGTAATACACGGCTAGGATCGAAGCAAACATGTGACATGCTTTTTCGCTTTATGCTGTGCCAAATGCAATCAATCTTCAGTATTTGAGTAAAGTCAGGTGCGTCAAATATGTAATCCAACATTAAAGAAGTGGTATAGTTAAGGTAAGGAAGATATAGTTTGAGTGCATATGGAAGACTTTGATCACAAAATTTTGGATTCGGATTCGGATTCGGATCCTCTATCAATTCTTAATGAGTGGTTGTCTCTTTGCTTGCCTTTTAATCTTAACTGTACATGACAAATGCAAAAGGTGTGCAAACAAAAGAGTAGTGCATTTTTGGATATGGGCGGGATCAAATGTACGGATTCATTAGATTTGTAATGGACGGCTAGGATCGAAGCAAACATGTGAAACACATGGCTACTTCTTAGTATAAATACATGACGTTCTTGGATGAGCTTGCCCCATCTTTTCCAATTAGTACGTTTCTAGGTTTTGTTGTGAGACCCTCATAATGGATTTAGTTCCATGGTCGCGAAAAGGGTTTTTCCTTGTAGTGTGGTTTCTCCTTCTCAGCCTCACATGTACTCTGCTAGTAGATGTCACTCATTCTGCTGCTCATCCGGACACCAGAAAGGCATGCAATTCTCCTATTTATATACCGTTATAGTTTAAAATTGGCTTCTATATACTTAGGGCCCATTTGGTAACCATTTCAATTTTAGTTTTTAGTTTTCATCTTTTGTGCCAAAGTATGGAGGAAAAAGAGGGAGAATGGAAGTGAGAATGTGAGAGTGGATATGGGATTGAGAGGGAAGATGAGAGGAGAGGATGGGAGGGAGGACTAATAAAAGTGAAAACAAAAACAAAAAACTGAAATCTATTTCAAATTGTTTTTACATTTGTTATTCCTCCCTTTCATCCTCTCTCTCAATCTCATCCTCACTCCCATTCTCACTCTCATTTTCCTCTATACTCTAGCAAAAATAAAATAAAAACTAAAAACTAAAAACTAAAATTGAAATGGTTATCAAACGGCCCTTAATAACGTTAATTATGATTATATTAATCGCAGGTTTATATTGTGTACATGGGGGACAAGCCAAAGCTCGACATTCCCACCGCTAACACATTGCCTCTTCATGTAAACATGCTTCAAAACGTAGTTGGCAGCAGGTTAATTATCACATATATAATATAAGCTTACTGCCTTTTTTTGTTAGGATTAACGAGTTTTCTAGATGAGTAATTGGTGACAATTATATAACTAATTAACATTACAAGGATATGATTTGCAATATAGTAAACTATAGCTAGTCCCTATATATATATATATATAATTCCTAACTTGAGTTAACGTTTATGTTTATGTTCAGCAATATTGAACAAGAACCTCTCCTACTGCACAGCTACAAGAGAAGCTTCAATGGCTTTGCTGCAAAGCTAACAGAGGAAGAAGCTCAGAAAATGGCTGGTTGTGGATCTAGCTTTCTTTCCAATTTGCATAAGAAGTACTGACCATTATAAGTTTATATCTAACTGGAAGCTTGTGTGTGTGTATATATACATATAGGAATGGCTGGTGTGGTGTCTGTTTTCCCTAGTGGGAAGCGGAAGCTCCACACAACAAGGTCATGGAACTTCATCGGGTTTCATGAAAACGTGAAGAGAAGCACTGTTGAAAGCGATATCATCGTTGGGGTGATCGACTCTGGAGTTTGGCCGGAATCTGCCAGCTTCAGTGATGCCGGGTACGGTCCACCACCCAAAAAATGGAAAGGCACATGCCAAGGCTCATCCAATTTTACTTGCAACAAGTAAGGCTAATATACTAGACCTGTCATGTTGCTAGATAATAAATGTAAAAATTATCCGTTTTATGTGATAATTGATTGACGTATTGTTGCTATGGTTGAAACAGTAAAATCATTGGAGCACGGTATTACCACAATAGCGAACCCTTCGTCAAAGGTGACATCGAGTCTTCACGAGACTCGGGTGGCCATGGAACCCACACTGCATCAACGGCGGCAGGAAACTTAGTTAGCAAAGCAAGCCTATTTGGTTTGGGGTCGGGGACAGCAAGAGGAGGGGTCCCATCAGCACGTATTGCAGTGTACAAAGTATGTTGGGCGAGTGATTGTAGTGATGATGATATTCTAGCGGCATTTGATGATGCGATCATGGATGGTGTCGACATACTATCTGTCTCTGTCGGAGGGGCTGAGGACGATTATTTCAGGGACTCAATTTCCATTGGAGCCTTTCACGCTTTAAGAAAAGGAATTCTGACTTCCACTGCTGTTGGGAACAACGGTCCGCGCCCCAAGACCATCGCAAACTTTGCTCCATGGTGTCTCTCTGTGGCTGCAACCACCATAGATCGGGAGTTTGTTACCAAGGTCCAATTGGGTAACCAAAAATCTATGAGGTACAATTAATAGAACCTATAGCTAATTAACCTGCCCTCACTTAAGCAATTGAATTAATCTATTAATTTACTTCATTGGGGTATATAGGGAATTGTAACAAACACATTTGACCTCAAGGGCAAGTTCTATCCTCTAATACATGCCGGAGACGCACCCAATAGGAAAGCAGGCTACGACGGGTCTACATCTATGTAAATACAATTATACACGTTTTGTAATATTTATGGGATATAGTTTCAGTCTGATAATAATATGTTGCAATAATTAATATGGTGGTACCGTACAGGAAATGCAAACCAGGCACGTTAGACCACAATTTGGTGAAGGGCAAGATTGTTCTTTGCGATGGGACGACTGGGTATGGGGCCTATTTTGCAGGTGCAGTTGGAGTTATTTTGCAAAACCGACCTGTTGCAGATGTGCTTGACCCACTTCCCCTGCCTGCCTCTTGCCTCGGTTTGGATAGTGGTAACAGCATTTACTATTACATTAACTCAACAAGGTACACACAAATATTATTTTGCCAGCTAAACCAGATCAGAATGATGCTAAGCTAATTTAGATATGATTTTGAATATTGTAATGATTAATTTGTAGGAACCCAACTGCAACAATTTTTAAAAGTACTGAGGATATTGACAAGCTGTCCCCATATGTGCCATCCTTCTCATCAAGGGGTCCTAATCCAGTCACTCCTAACCTTCTCAAGGTACGTACGTAATTACATGTAACTTGATGAACACTCAAGACTGTTTTATTTTATATATAATTATATATAATTTTTCTCCTTGTTATGTTGCAGCCAGATATAGCTGCTCCGGGAGCTTCTATTTTGGCAGCATTTCCTCCAATTGCCCCTGTTTCGTTTGTTCAAGGAGATGACAGAGTAGCATCATACAATTTCGTCTCAGGGACATCAATGGCTTGCCCACATGCCACTGGGGTAGCTGCATACGTCAAATCATTTCACCCCAATTGGTCTCCTGCTGCTATCCAATCCGCTATTATCACCACCGGTAGGGCTGTGTATAAACGTGATAAATTATTATGAAAGAACAATTATTTTAATTACTTACAATTTTAGCATGGCCTAACCATGTATATCTTGGATTATTTGTAATGATTTTGCAGCTAAACCCCTGAGTCCTGATCTTAACCCTGAAGCCGAATTTGCATACAGAGCTGGCCAAATTGACCCTGTTAGGGCTCCATATCCTGGTTTGGTATATGATGCTACGGAACTGGACTACATAGAATTTTTGTGTGCACAAGGCTATAGTACCAAATTATTGCAATCTATTACCGGGAACAAGAGTAGCTGCTCATCAAAAACTAATTATGGAGCACTCAGTGATCATTTGAATTATCCTTCTTTTGCACTTTCCTCCTCGAATCCAAACTCCATCAGTGGGGTTTTCAATAGGACAGCCACAAATGTTGGATCACCAAGGTCCACATATAAAGCTAAAGTGATCGGTGCAACGAAAGGACTTGAAATCAAAGTTAATCCAAGCATTCTATCGTTCTCATCTCTTGGGCAGAAGCTATCCTTTCAGGTCACAGTAAAAGGGTCAATTCATCACAAATCCCGTGTCTCTGCTTCTCTGGTGTGGGATGATGGTACTTTCCAAGTCAGGAGCCCCATTGTTGTCTATGCTATATATTAAGTGGTGCATGGATCATGCAATCCTGTATTGATGTAATAAGAATAAGAAAAAGCAAATTGCACTACGAAGGATCAAATGCCACATCTCTAATATTTAATATATCTATCGATTATGAGTGATGAGACTTTACTATGATGCAGAAACTTGAAATGTATCTTTTATTTTATTGTACTTGTTTGGAGTGATCCCATGCAAATCCCATCCCTTGTTGTTGTTCTTGTTTTTGTTTTTTTAGGACATTTTCTATTGAGAGGAGCGATAAGGCCATTTCCAGTCATGGGCTATATCCCAAATATAGCCCTAAAATAATGCAAAACCCATCTCCAGTCATGGGCTAAACAAAATTTTGGCCAAATTTGGAGGGCCACATTTGGCCCTTTAGCCCTCCAACCGGGCCACATTTAGCCCATATTTGGCGTAGTCCTAGGCCAAATTTTTTGTGGGCTCCATGCATGTGCTTTACATTGATGATGTCAACTGTATATATATATATATATATATTTATTTAAAAGTCTTTTTAAATGTTTTCAATTAGTAAAAAATTATAAAATAATATTAGTCATGACCGTTGGATGTCAAACCATTGAAACCCATCCTTTAAAAACAAAAATGTAGTCACCTTTTCAAATGTTTTCAAGTGTTGTTTAAAAAAAATTATAAAAAAATGTTGGTCATGGAATATTGTCTCTAAATAGTAGTTTAATTAAATTAAACAATACATAGTTGTGGAATGTATGTGTTATACCATAGTTTTTATCAAAATAATAAAATTTGAAGGACCTTAAAATATAGCCCTGCATGGCTGGAGATGGAAAAATCTAACCCTACACTATTATTTAAAAAATTAATATTTTTTAGGGCTAAATTTTTAGTCATGGACTACATTTAGCCCTATGACTGGAGATGGCCTAACATACTAAACTCACACATACTACACAGATGCTAGGACTCGAACCCAGGACCTTTCTGACGCAGCAAGATATAAGGGATAAGGAGATCGAACCATAACCCCACAAGTAACAATGTCGGAATCCACCAACAAACTGGAATCCAACAGAGAAATTGAGTAGGTTTATATTGTGTATATGGGCGACAAACCGAAACACAAGGTTTTCACTACCACAATATCGTATCTTCAGGTGAACATGCTACGAAACGTCATTGGTAATGGCATTGCACAACAAGAATCTCTGTTGGTGCACAGCTACAAGAGAAGTTTCAATGGCTTTGCTGCAAAGTTGATGGCAGAAGAAGCACGAAAGATGGATAGTGAGGATGGTGTTGTGTCTGTTTTCCCCAGCGGAAAGAAGCAGCTCCACAACAAGGTCATGGGACTTCACTGGGGTTGTATGACAAATGATTCCAACAGTTTTATTTTTTTAGCTAAACCCATGAGTGCCAAACTTAATTCTGATGCTGAATTTGCATACAGAGCTGGCCAACTAAACCCTATCAGGGCTCCATATCCTGGTTTGGTATATGATGCCGCGGAAACAGATTACATCAAATTTTTGTGTGCACATGGCTACACCAACAAATTTGTTCCCATTTGCTTATTATAACGGGAAGGAGAATAAACAAGGTTCTGATCAGAGAGCATTTTCCTTTACATACATTTCTTTCCCAATATGATTTTCCTGAGAAACAAATGGTGAGTGAGTAATAAGAGAAGAGACTAACCACAAAAACAATGGCGTGCAGAACGGCGAGAAAGAATGAATCTTTGTTATATGGGATTTGAATATTGGTGGGTTTCTTGGGGATGTTTTCGCATTGAAGTTTGTGGAAACAGAGACGAGAGAAGGGGAAGAAGAAGAAGAGAAGAAAAGGAAAACGGATGAAAATGCACTTAAAACGGACGAGCATAATTTGGATAGTCTGTCTCAAGTAAACGACCCTTTAGATGACCTGTCATCCAGTTAACTAAGCCTCGCTTAAAATTTTAAGCCCATCCTCGGGAGCTTTAGTTTTAGAACACAACATAGTTTACTAATTTGGAAGATGGGAATACAATTTCATCTAATTAGCATGAGGCCAAAGACCAAAATGTAGTACCTAATTTTACAAAAATATCATTAAAAAATATCAAAATCACACACAATGCCACTCATTCTAAAGCAAGCATACTATGCCACATGTCCATATCTACCTTCTAAAACAAGCATACTATGCCACATGTCCATATCTAGCTAACCACCACCACTGCTACCCACCTGCCACCAACCCGTCACTGGCCTACCACCATCTGCAGGGGACCAACTCCGTTGCCCTTTATTCCCCTTTAAAAAAAAGATTTTGTGTCATCACTGCTGCCCACCTACCACCACCGCCACCGCCCGTCGCCGGCCTGCCACCATCTGCAGGGGACCAACTCCATTGCTCTTTATTCACCTTTAAAAAAAAAAGAAGATTTTGTGTCATTGAAGGGACTCAAACCTTGACCCTCAAAGGAGGAAGGCTCACTCACAAACCACTACACCAAACTTGATTTTGTAATATTTATTTAGTTATACAATATTTGTATAAACAATCAACGATTTAAAAATTAAAAAAATTCATTTCAACACTTTTTCACATAAAAACTGCAAATAAAATAGAAAAACTGCAACAAAAATACAATGTAGATATCAATTATGTTAAATAAAACAAAAATAAAACTAATTTTATTGAAGCAAAATGGAGGAACCAAGATGAACAATTTTATCCAATTTTGAGTTCTCTTGCTCTTGGGTAGTTCTACTCTTCTCTTGCCCACCCAATTCCTCATCTAGGTTGCCTCTACCCTTCAAATTGGTGTGGTTGAAGGCCAAGGAAAGAACAAAAATCCAATTGTAATTAAATGAAAACTGCAATGCAGTTTCCAAAAGTCCAATTTTGAGTTCCCTTACTCTTGGGTAGTTCTACTCGTCTCTTGCCCACCCAATTCCTCATCTGGGTAGCCTCTACTCTTCAAATTGGTGAGGTTGAAGACCAAGGAAAGAGCAAAAATCCAATTGTAATTACCAAGACGGCAATGTAGTGCAAAACTATAATGCAGAACCTATGCAAAATTTCACTACATTAAAGCTTAAATGGTATTGCAAAATATTATATGATAGTGATGGCATCAACCATTTCCAAATCAAGACAAATGCATAGTAAGTGAGCTTTATAATAAGAAGTTGCAGCTAAATTAGATCATTGCCTGACCCCATCAAAATCAATATTCATTTAGGAATTGGATTGGGTTCTATGAAACTTATACAGCTTCTTTTTCCAAGAGACATATCGGATATGAGGAATATGTTTTTGGTGTTGTTATTGACATTTATGTCTTTATTCACACACATTGGAAACTGACTTCTCAATTGCTACGACTTTAATTTTCAGACTAGAAATGCTCACAAAGCTTGTCCTGATGGTATTCCACTTCCAGAATGGATTCTCAAGTCTAGGGAGACAGGTGATGTTGATACGTTTCCTGTGAACTTATAGAAACATATTTGTTTTATTGTTTATATTAATATTTTTGACATGGGGCAAAGTTCTTGATTGCTCCAATGGTTTCTTGTTTCTCACAATTGTACTTCCAGAAAATTTGAGTAGGGGTTCACACTATTTTTTTTATTACTGTAGTGTTGGAATTGGCTCAAATTTGATGGCATTGATGGCATGTGATCCAACAACTATTGTTGACTTTGTTGGCTCAAAGTGCACCCACATGTGTCGGCGGTTTCTTCATAGTGGCTGCCACACTTGGTATAAAAGAATGTGGCTTTGACATTATTTTATTTGGAGGAGAGCAACAACCTTTGTAAGAAGAAATCAGATTTTGTGTTGTGTGTGCAGCAAATCACATGGGAAAGTTTGGCTTTTGGAGGAAGTCATGTTGCATTAAATGAGTGGTTGAAATTGAAGACATTTAGGTCTTCACGTGGGCTGCCGACATTGGTGTAGAGTATGAGAAAGTCTTGCTTTTCGCATTGAGCCAATGGCCTATTAATATACAGCAAACAAGGTGCAAGAGGTGATGGGCATTTGTGCCGCACCATTTGGAGGTGTCGTGAGCACCATTGCTCAGATAGGCTAAAACATAAGTGAGGGACACTTCCACACAGAGAGAAATACTAGAGAGCATCACCATGATGGTGGAGATAAACTCCTTTTTGGCTACACGAGATGTTCAAGGAAGATCAAGCCATTTCAAAGGTTGAGTCTTCTTCATTTGTTCCTTTTGTTTGTGGGAGGTTTATTTCTTTGTATTGTTCTTAGTGTGTTCTTTCCTAGTAAGCAAGAACAATTCCTGTGTTTTTGGCTCTTGTGTGTGGTTAGCCAGAGAGTGACTTGGGTGTATTTAGGATTTGGGTTGTGAAAGTTAAACTATGTAATTCCTAGGATAGGTGAGAGGGTTAATCTCCTTTGGTTGTAATCTCTTTTTGGGATACTAGTGGAATTTCTCGCTGTCTTCGAACTGGATGTAGGCTACACACGGGCCGAACCAGTTTAAATCCTTGTGTCTCTTGGATTTCTGTATTTCATATTTTACTCTTGTTGTTTCAACGGTTTCATATCCACCCAGGGACGAATGCAAGCTAATGGGCTATATGGGCTATAGCCCATGCCAAAAAAAATTGACTTTTAAATGTGATGTAGTCTTAGCCCAAAAAAAAATCTATAACTAAATAGAAGGGATAGCCTACTTGCATTCACACAGCAAAGAATCAAACTCTAATTGAGTGGTAAAAAAAAATTGACAGAAAGCATCAGTTCGAGTGAAAACCAAAGAGCCGACAAAGCCAGAGGCATCTCACCAGCGATTGGTCCAGCTCCAATTCAATAAATTAACAAACCAATTTCTCCTCTTTTTGTTTGTTGAGGTAATTTTCTTCACTTAGTTCTTATTAGGGAGTTATAATTATTATTATTTTTATAAACAACATTTAGGGTTTTTGAATTTGGGGATTTCTGAATATGCTTACATACATCATTCATGTTATAGGTTATACTTATAATGTCATATCATCATCGAAATCCTAAGAGAGAAGAATATTTTGCATTTTTTTAAGAAAAAAAATGAAGGATCATCAAGTAGCATGCCCTCTAGCCCTTCTTCATCTTCTCCAATTTGTGGGGAGAAACCTCCTTTTGAATTTCAAAGAGTCGAGTCTCAGAGAGTCCATTGTAATCAACAAGTTGATACCAATTCTCTTGAATGTGATCCGGGATTACGTCGTCAAATATGCACATATTCAATTAATGAACGTGATAACGTTTGAAAAGCATATATTCTCTTAGGATCATGTCAACCCACATTAGGGGAATATCCATGCCACTTAGATGGGAATCAAAATCGTCGATTTCAACAATGTTGGTTCAAACAATTCCCTTGGCTTGAGTATTCTGTCCATGAAGATAAAAGGGTTTTGTTTTCCATGCTTTGTTTTTAAACTGATCATTCACACAAGGCATTCACTATAGATGGGTTTAAAAATTGGAAGAGAGTTGGGGAAAAATGTGATTTCCTTGGTTATGTAGGCAATATAAATTCTCCACATCATCTTGCTATGCAAAAGTGAATGGATTTAAGCAACCCTTCTCAACATATTGACAGAGTGGTGCAATCACCACAAGATGTTACAAAAAATCGGTTGAGACTTACAAGCACAATTGAGTCTATTAGGTATCTAGCAAATCAAGGATTGGCTTTCAGAGGTAATGACGAATCTTGTGAGTCATCACATAGGGGAAATTTCATTGAGTTGATAAAAGAATTTTCAAGAATGAATGTAGAAGTTGAAAAAGTCGTCTTAGATAATGCTCCTGGAAATGCGAAATATATTGCATCGACAATACAAAAGGAGATCCTAAATATTTTTGCTAACAAAGTAAGGAAGAAGATTCGTGAGGAAGTTGGAGAGGATGGAAAATTTTGTATTCTTGTTGATGAAGCATTTGATGAATCTAAAAAGGAACAAATTGCTATTATCCTAAGATTTGTTGGTCGTAATGGGTTTATTCGAGAACGATTTTTTGAGATTATAAGTATTCATGATACTAATTCCTCAACTCTTAAAACTGAGATTTGTAAAGTGCTTGGTAAACACTCTTTTTGTGAAGAATATGCGTGGCCAAGGATATGATGGTGCTAGTAATATGTGTGGTCAATGGAATGGCTTACAAGCATTGTTTCTCAATGATTGTCCATATGCATATTATATACACTGCTTTGCTCATCGCCTCCAACTAGCATTAAATGATGCAGCTAAAGAGGTAGGAGTTATTTGGAGATTTTTTTCAATGTTGAATAATATTGTGAATTTTGTTGGTGCTTCTGCTAAACGTCATTCTGAGTTGAAATTATCTCGAAAAGTTGAAATTCAAGGGTTGTTAAGAGGCTGGAAAACTTGGAATGGGTACAGGGGCTAATCAAATTCGTTGTTTGCAACGACCTAGAACTACTCGTTAGGGGTCTCATTTTAGTTATATAAGAAGTTTGATTGATTTATTTGGTGCAACCAAGACACTTCTTGATGAAATAGGTCGTAATGGACCTACATCACTATTTCGTGGGGAAGCTGAGAGTATTTATATTGCCATGATGTCGTTTGAATTTGTTTTTTCCTTACTTTTGTTGGAAAAAACTATGTGATTCACATATTTTCTTTGTCAATCACTTCAAAGCAAATCTCAGGACATTGTAAATGCTTTGAATCTTGTTTCAAGTACAAAAATGAAGCTTGATGAGTTGAGAAATAATGGTTGGGATGATTTTATCAAAAGTGTGCTATCATTTTGTGAACAAGATGACATTAGTGTACCTGATATGAGTGCTCATCATAAAATGGGTACAGGTCGTTCTTGTCAACAATCGGATTCTATTACAATTGAGCATTATTTCCGTATTGATGTATTTAATGATGTAATAGATTTTCAATTGGTAGAGTTAAACACTAGATTTCCATAGCAAACTGTGGAACTTCTTTATCGTACCTCAACATTAGATCCCCGTGATTCATTTAAGCGGTTTAATATTGGAGATATATGCAATCTTGCTGGGAAGTTTTATCCCAAGATTTTATTACCACTGAGTTGTAGGCTTTACATCAACAGTTGGGATTTTATAAGACTGATATGGATCGTCTTCCAGCCTTCAAGAATCTTGATTCTATTCCTGAATTACTTAAGTGCTTACTTGAAATAGGGTTAACACACACCTACCACTTGATTGATAGATTGATTTGTTTAGTGTTAACTCTTCCGGTTTCTACAGCAACAATAGAACGTGCATTTTCTTCTATGAGACTTATCAAAAATCGACTTCAGAACAAGATAGAGGATGAGTTTCTTGCTGATTGTATGATACTTCACATTGAAAAAGAATTTGCTAATAGTATCGATAACGAATCAATAATTAATTATTTCAACTCTTTGAAGCCTAGAAGGGTTCAACTCAAATAATTGTATTATGTATTTGCATTGCATATTTATTTATTATTGTCTTTTTTTATTAGTTTATATCTTATGTACTAGATGCATTTTGAGGGTAAGACTCACTATGTCCCCCCTGATTAGGTATATAATTTTTGTTATCAATGAAATTCACTCGTACCGTCGAATTTGTTTATAAGAGAAATCCAGCCCAGTGTATTTCGAAATCTTGGATTCATCCCTGTATCCACCATTCCATGTGCAATCCGCTTCCGTTGCGCACAACATGTAGGTGGTCTTCCATGCAGTTTAGAGGGTATACTAGCATCCCCAGTTGTAAACGGATATCGTAACAAGTGTGAATTTTCAGTTGGATATTCTCTACAAGGAAAAATAACTGTGGGGTTTATGCTTGGAAATTTTAGGTAATCCACATTCAATGGAAAATTTTATTGACATTGATTTGTTTACTAAATAAAATCTTTCCAGGGAGGGTGTTACAGCAGTTGAAGAACCTTTCGACTGCCCAAATGTTTCCAGAATTTCTTGCAAATATGCCTCTATCTTTCAGGAGTTTCTGCAACATTCAAGTTTACCAGTTTGGAACAGATTTAAGAATATTGGATTCTGGCGTCAACTGACGGTAGGTGTTGTAAATTGAGGGTCTATTTGCAAAAGTTATGTATGATAAGTATCACTCTTTTGCCAAGCAGGGAATGCTCAACCTACTTTTGATATACACCTTAAAAGTAATATTTTCGTCCCAGTTATTGAGCTTGCTGTCTCATGATTTGTCTTCTTAGGTTCGAGAAGGGAGGAGACTAGGCATGGCCTCTGAGATGCTGAAAATTGTGAGGCCAATATTGTAGGGGTCATGCTGATTGTTCAGGTTAGTGTCAGAACTTGCATCAGGATTGACAATTTCCTTTCTTCCTCCCTTCTCCTTCTTTTTATGGTTAGAAAATTGAATAGTAAACTATAAAATTCAGTAGTTGGAAGAAAAATTAGGTATTAGACATAATTAACTAAAATACCCAATGTTTCAAATACTAATTAATAAAGTTAAT